TTTTGTCGATAATTTGAATATTAAATATGTTGAAATAACTATCAATTTTCCGCTTCAGAAATTTCTAATGTCAAATTAAATAGACATAGACGCGTATACGTATATATGTGTTTGCTTCTATGCTCTCTCAAGGACACGGAGGCATTATTAATGCACGCTGGACCGACATACTGTTATGCCAATAAAGCGGTCGAGATGGACCAGCACTCGCGCTGTCAATTATCAGGTTTTTAGTCGTCGAAACTCGCGTAGTCCTCAAAGAAGATGAAGCAGCACGTCGGCGGCTCGAGCATCGGATATCCCTTTTACAAGAGGCGGACAGGTCCGTTATTCATCCCCCTCTCCTTTGACTCGTACGATACCTACGCGAACCAAGTACCGGAAGTACGCGCTTTCAGTCGCCGGCCATTTGTTGTCATAAATTGTTAAGCGTGCCATTACTCGCGCGCGCGGGACATCATAAATATATATATATATATATATATATGTTGCAGTTGTACAAATCAATTTCAGAATACCACGAACCCGGAGAGTTTCGACACTCTCTCGCGCGCGAGATTAAACATACGGTTCCCTATAAATTGATATGTCACGCGATCGCGCGATCAGTTCTCGTACCATAAACTACACGCACGCATGCACGCATACCAATGGGGTATTATCGAACCGCGGATTTGCATAATGCGTAACGCTTGATGAAATTAGCTGCACGTGGCGACGACGATGGTAAAACGTCACAATATCGCTCTGTATGCAGATCCGAGCCGATTCAGAACGATTCCGCGAAAAGTCGGTCGATCCGACCAGATCCAATCTGATTAGCGAACGACTTGGAGTAAACCGGGACACGGCATCCACGACGCGAACTTCGCCCACGGTCCCCTTTTAGCGGTCGCTCGCGCTAGTATAAGTCTGTTCTCAGGTGAAGGTAATCATATTCCGCGTTCCACGGTAATGGTAAACGAACGCAGCCTCTGGGCTGTAACGGAACCTCTGCCACCAGCCTGCAACCCCGGCCTCTGTGTCGGGCCCCGTGGGTGCATCTATAGCTCGAGAGAGCTGCGCCTTTCCGTACCCTCTCCCGTAAATATACAAGCCAAACTCCTATGTTGCCGCAATTATCGCACGACCGGCTGTTATCTCTCCGGCGAGCGAGATAGCTCTCTCTATCTCTCTCTCTTCCTTCTTCTCCGAGACGATCGTTATCGTTACCTATCTCTCGTTCCTAAGCGCGGACAAGGCGGACTAGCCTCTGAACTTGACCTAACCCCGTGACACCGGCCACGAACAACGCGAATACTAATAACAATTAATTTGCCGCTATCCACAATTCAATGAATGGTGTCCGCTATTGGCGGCGCTGGAAACCGCACGCGAAAAGGTATATCCCGTTGCGGTTGCAGGAGCTCGATAGCGATCCTTACTGTTATTATGTCGACGAGAGATGGTTACCTCAGCGTGAACGCGAGCCAGGATGTAATACGTTCGCGCGTTAACCACTCGCAGGATAATCACGACGCATTAATTAGTGGATTAATTAGAGCGGAGGCGTTCGCCTTACTTCGCCGTGACGTTGAACGCGCGGCTCGCTCTCGCTGTTGTTGCCGAGAGCGTGTTACTCGTCCATTCCGAGTTTCGTCCGACCAACATCATTTATTGTGATGAGCGTGAAAGTAAAATTGAGCGTGTCTCTTTCTCTCTCTCTCTCTCCTCGTTTTGAATCCGGCCGATTCGTGTCCTGTCAAAATTCTTTCTATACGATATTTTTGCGTCAACGTTGAATCAAGAAACTTTGAATAATATTAATAAAAAATCAGATACGAAGAGGATCAATAATATGAGCTAGGTGCAACAAAATTATTTTTTAGCATATTGATTAATAAAAAAATTCACGTGCCTTGATTCGAAACGTTGAAAATAATTAAAGAAGAATTTAAAGCTAATATCTGCGTTTGACTCTTATTATCCTTTTCTCATCTGATTTTATATTTATATTATATCAAAGTCTTCAATTTAATAAATTTTATAAAAGAGAGCTCCCCAAATAAAATCGATCAACGAGATCTAATACTGACGCTTGAAAGAATCTGTGCGATAGAAAAGAATCGAGATTTGTGTTTGGAGATTCAGAGCATGAAATATTACTTTCAGACGCCGCGATCCGACGAATCGGAAAATACCTCTCTCTCTCTCTCTATTTCCAGCAATCTCTCATTATTTAACCGTCGTAAAATATAATTGATTAATCCGAGAGGGAGAGCGAGCGTCCCGTTACGAGCGCGGGCGCTCGATGAGCCACTCGAGTTAAAAGGAGAGTCCGGGAGAGTCGACGATTATATTGATTACATACACACATATGTAAGCACCAGCACGATCGATGATCGCGCGCGCGTGCTGCAACCGGAAGATGTCACATCGCCGGGGCAATTACGGCCGGATCGAACGTAAATTTATCGGCGCGACAAACTCCGCGACGATGCACTCGGATGCGCTTTATAAAGGCGATGCACCCCGAGACACGGTGGCCGTGTCGAGAGCGCAAGTGGAATTAGTCTCGGTTCGACGGACGCGCCTACTGCTGGTACTCCTGGAGAGGAGCAAGATGGAAAGTAATGCACCTGGCGACTAAGGAGGATAAATTGACGCGAATGCCGATCGTGCCGATGGAATGAGACGGAGAGAGAGAGAGACAAAGGAGACGAACGCGGAACGGAATGGAGCCGGGCCACATTGTCAGACCGATATTTCCATTCATAACGCGTCGCCGCACGGGTGTGTCGTTTCTGGGTTGCGAACGCGACCCGTGTGTCACGCACGTACCGAACGTGATACGAGAGCGATGCAACTCTATCGGGAGCTACTGGAATTGGCGCGGACGAAAATTAATTGCTCGTTAAAATGAGCGCTAAAATATTATATTTAAATTTCTCCAACAGACTTTACGTATTAAAATTCCTCGTCTGAATAGACACATCTGAGTTAGAAATTCAGAATGCATTCTTAATATTTTTCGAGTACCTAGCTTTAAAGCTGCGCATACCTGTATAGAAGTAAGGAAATATTATAGCGCACGTAGATCGTAGCGGTGGAAGCGCACAAGCAATGGGAAATAAAAATCTAGACCATGCAAATTTAGACGTTACGAGCGAGTCCTGTTTTACAACCGCGAATAAAAGAAGTTACAGCTTCACGACGCAGCGTGCATTTCACTCGGAAGGTTCGCGGAAGGAATCCACAAGAGAGCGAGCGCGACTCGGAGCATTTTGCACAGTGCTCGGGCGATTTGAGACTGCGAGTACTTTGAGAGCTAAAGATGTTTAAAAGCATGATGCGTGCCCGTATCGACGGTATGCGCCCATTCACCGAATTCCCTCGTTCAATGGACCGTATATATACCGTGAATACGCAGTGACGTAAGAATCCCCGTTGCCGGGTTCATATTGGCACGTCTAGTCTCTCTCTCTCTCGCGTCGAGAAATATCTCGCGGATTTATCCATTGGCGCGAGATTCATTACGATCGGTCGGAAGGTAATTTACAACGCGGCTAGCATGAAACGAACGTTAACGAGTGAGCGCGAGTTTAGGTGTCGCGACTCTTTTACATCGCTTCTTCTTCTTCTTCTCTTCACCTTCACCTTCTCCGGATTACAATGAGCTGCCGGTAGATGTGTTGCAGCAGGGGGTAGAGGTGCGGAGGGGAAATATACACGTAGAGGAAAAGATGAAGTCGACAGGTAGAAGAGAAACTACCTATGCGCGCGCGTGCGCTTCTCTCTTTTATCTCTCGGTACCGCTTTGTATTAGGCCGCTGTCGTGCGGCTGGTATGCGCCGCCGGCTTCGCCAAAGTTTTCTTCCTGTGTGCGCGCGGGAAATTCTTCTTATTTTTCTCCCTTCCTCATCTATCGTAGCGTTTACCGGCGAAGTCAAGAGACTCCGGCTGGCTTCTCCGAGTAATCTCTTTCGGTCAAGAACCCTGCAGATACGATCTTCTCTCCGTGCAATGTAACGATGCAACGCCGGTGCTGCGCGCTCGATTTTATGGCGCGCTCTCGCTGGAAAATTAAAACTTTTCTTACGAATCTTTCCTTCTTTTTCGCGCGTACCTCTTCTAGCTCCCTTATCAAGCGAGAGGGCATCGCGCCGAGACCCAGCAACCACGGCAACCGGACACGCACTCACGGAGGTGGTTGAGCACACAACAGCGCCGGTCTCTCGTGCAAATACGCGTGCTCATTCCCACGCACCCACGCCTCTCTCGTAGCCGGTTCGCGCTTCAGGTAGACGGACGAATCGCATTTAGCCTCCCGCCGCGACGTCGCAAGTGTTTTTCGTCGCGAACCCGCGGCGTCTTGACTCTGACATCGTGATATATTGTACACCTTAGGGGATTCTACCCCGACATCGATTAACTGTCGCTAGATATCAACCGCTTAACTCTTTTTTTTTATTTTTTTTTTTTGGATATAGCGACTATATAAGACAGCGATATGCACAATTTAATTAATACGTATTCACGAATGTGTCAAAGTGTTGAAGATACATCTGGTTCGATTTGTCAAGTCAAGACGATAATTATGTGGCAAAATATGTCGCGCGACGAGATGGATAAGCCGGGTCGCGATAGAGTAGATAAGCGTATGTACAATGGTTCATTGAACTTAGACGTATATAAATAACGTGAAAAAATGCGCAAAGCCGTCTGAGTAGGTTTAACCTCGAGCTCTTTAGTAATCCGGAACGATTGCATTTGTCACATAATGCAGAGGAGATGACTGATACCAGATGCCATTCGTGTTTACGTTTCGAGATTAATTTAATATTCACTTGTTGATGATAATAAACGGACGATTTGATCTTCCTCCGTTTGAATAAAATTCCTGAGAATCGGCTGGTATTTTGATTACTATGTACGAAGCAACGTGCGAGAGACCTGGAGACTTGCAGTTTATATTTATACGAATAACACAAATTAACGAAAGTATTATTTACGTGTTTTAGGGTACGGAAGAAGAGTGCCGACATGTCGGCGTTGAGCGCCGCGCTTTGTAGACGCGGGATAATCCTCTGGCTGGCCGCCGTCCTACTGCTGGCATCACGATCCACGCATTCTGGTAAGTTTTTGCAGAAATACCTCGGTACGCTTCTATCTCCCTTTCTTTCGTCTGGCTCCGACGCCTCGGACACGCTTGAGCCGCCGTACAAAACGTGAGTCATTTATTTGATAGAAAGACCGTGAACGCGCGGACTCCCACGAAAGAGGAAATGGGAGGCACAGGCGGGAAAGAAATATTTTCGCTCGTCCAAAGACGCGATCGGATTATTTCTGCTTCGTGGAAGGCGGATTACGATCCGGATACATTCCTCAATCCGTAAATGCGGCAAAGTATGTTCGATTCGTATAAAAAAAAAAAAAAAGAAATCGCTTTTGTTTCCATCTATATTGTGTTTACTCTCTTCCACCAGAGAAGGTCTACAAGAAGTCGGATATCGCGGTAATGGAGAGTAAAGAGAGTAAAAGTAATCTCGATGAAGAAGATGGGATTAGCCTCTCGCAACTCGGAGATGTTTTGTCGATAGAAATTTATGATAGAGTCTAGTTTTTCGAACGACGTTAAAAAAAAAAAAGAAAGAAAGAGCGATTCTATCACGTTTCTTCGGACGATAGATAGAGAGTCAAGTGCCGCGTCATTTCTCGAGATTACAAAAGATATGCGAGAGAAGCCTAAATCGAGCGTGAATGTGTACGCCGTGCGTTGAAATTAATTTCTGAAAATCCGAGAGAAAGAGAGACGAACAGCACACTTCCGCGATCGCTCTTTCTTCGTATTCTCCCTGGTGTGACTAACGCGGATAGTCGGCCGGCCAATGTTTGAATGAGCGAGCCACGTTCTGTCAGGCCGTCGAACCTATCCGCGTGCGCCTCCCTTCTTCTCCGGCGACCGAGAGAGAGCATTACCTCATAATGCTCACCTCTGGCACCGGCTGTGTCGGGGCCCAAGGTGCTTTCCCATGGACCTGGCACACCATATTCGTTCTTCGGTCATTCTCAGGTCGCCTTCGGGCGGTCGGTCGCGTCTCCTTCCTATCCGTGAGACCTCGTTCCGCGAAGTATCGCTTCTTCCCTTTACGTCAAGCAGGTTTCGAACGGTATAACGCCTGGATACTCCTCTATAGATCGGGTCCTATAGCTACCGATATATCGGAGCAAGGCGAGCCGAGTTGGAAACGGGCTCTTTAAATTGTCGTGTCATGAATTATTTCCAGGGTGGATAGAAAAACGGCGATAGCGCGAGATTATGCCGACCGCAAATTCGTAAAACGTATAACTTCGATGCATCGAAAAGAAGGAAAAAAAGTGGATTCATCGCTCTGGTAATTCGTTATTCGAGAAAGTAATCTCTTGCGGTCGAGGGAAAAGGGTACGCAAAGAAGTCGAATCTATTTCGCGCCAAGCGCGCTCACGACGATCAATCGATCGATCGATCGATAGGTAGAGGGAAGCATTCTCGGAAATACACGATACGAACACGCGCAAAAACGTTGCATCGTCAATGAAGGCTTATTGAGGATGCGTCAGTTTTGCTTCTCCCCTTCATCAATCGGCCGTCGGTGCTTCAACGAAGAGCAGCAGGTGTGGTTAAACGGACGGGATCGATTGAATTCCGCGACTCACTCGGCGTGTTTTCTCCTTCTCTCTCGATCTGTGATTTTTTTTTCTTCTCCTTTTTTTCACCCTTGGAATAGCCAGGCGATTCTGCGACTCTTTCTCTCGCGCGCGCACTCGTATCTTTTTTTCCTCTTTTTTTTCCTATTTGTTTCTCGAGCTTTTCTCGAGCAGACAGCAAGGACGATCGAGATCAACGCCTTCGATCGCTGACGATCCATCAGACGGCGGACAAGTTTACTGGATTATGTATCTTCCTTGTGACAGCGAGCATTTACGCGAAGACGTTCGCATTCAAAGGAAATCAGAAACATCGCCGACTTCGAACTAGGTAACAGGTTTTCATCGAGGAGAAAAAAATTTATCCTTTTGTAACTTCTCGGATCTGTCGTTTCTTAGATTATCGGAATCCACTTGACGGGCATCAGATTGCATTACGGTGAAAAATTATGAGCGACGATCGACCCTTGCAATTTCTCGTGCCCATCAAATTGTTACGTGTTTACGCGAGATCTTTATTATGCGTGACAAGAAATGGACGGCAGCTGGCAAAAATAAAAAGTATCATCGATAATTACTTCAGTAAGATTATTAAGATAATTACATCCTCTCGCGAGAGTTTGTCTAATTCCTACGGCCATCTCTCCTTATTTACAATTAAAAAAAAAAAAAACGCGGCAGAGAGATCTTCCGGATACGAGTCGGAGAAGTAAATTTCGAAATTCGAAGTCGGAGGGAAAAAAAAGGATGCGTCTCGACACACAGCCGTCCGTTCGCATAGCGGTTCCTCTGCAACTGCGCGATGCTGTGTGAATTCTGGTCAAACTTGTAAAGCCTCGAGGTGTAGTCAATCTCGGCGTGCCCACGTCGGGATGTCACTGACCGCGTACCTCACCGTTCACCACTTACGGTCCACGTACGGGGTCGCACCTGACCCCCGAGGCGTTCCATATTTATGCCTAATGCTTGGCAAAGTGTCGTTATCGTCAAGCATCATCAGACTCTCTCTCTCTCTTGCGGCGAACCCGTCGCGGAAGAGAATCCAGACAGCGCAACCAGAGAGTGCATAAAAATGCATGCGCCGGGAGATATATGTTACGTGGGATCGCGTACAGTTACGCGTTTATTAAGCGCACTCGAATATTCGTGTACAAGACGCGATTGTGCAAGCCGATCAACAAGTATGTGCATGCAAATGAGTTTTAGACGGTTAAAAAAAGGTTACGAATCCAGTCTATCGATTAAACCGTATGAATCTGTCCTTAGAGTCCTTGCATTCGGGAGCGAAGCTGAACACAACGAGGTTTCGATCTAACGCGTTTTTAATCGAGAGCGCGAATACATTTCAGACGAGGAAGAGCTCTCGGGCGAGATAAGAGGGTATAGAAAGGATCTGTTGTAACCGGTACGTCGTAAGAGGACTCCACTCCTTCGTCTCTGTTCTCTCTCTCTCTCTCTGTGTACCTTCTTGACTACTTACCGAGGTGGCGAGGTCAGCGGCGGTCATCCGACGAAGGATCTAACGGAACGCGTGGGTGCAACGTCAGCGAGCGGATTAAATCAGTCGCGTTGATCCATTTCGGAAAATTGGGAGGGATTGTTCCCTCGTGCAGCGGCGGTTTAGGGATCTCTTTCTATCTCTCGAGTCCCTTATCGGAAACGAGCACTTTCTTTCGTCCGGGAATTATTCTCATTACCGGACCTAAGCCGGCGCACACCAAGACTACTCGCGTCTCGTAATATAGGAAGTGGCAATGAACTGGTTCCCGCGCGATTGGGAGGATATAATTTATGATTGTCCTCGAAGGGGACCGGCACGCTAGAGAAACACGGAGGCGCGTATTACGCCAGAAACCGGTCGACCAGGTTTCCACGGCGTTACATTCTCGATCGCCGTGACATTGGCATTAACGGTCGCGTCCGATACACAAACAAAACTCTTCCGTAATCTCGGAATTCGCTTCGATAAAATTATACGTAACATTTCTCGCGTGACCGCGAAAGAAGGTGTTTCCGCTTATTCGGAGAGTAGAGGCTATTTCCTCTATTCTAGGGATGAAATTATTCCATCATCTTTTTCATCAGAGGATTAGGTCGGACCCCAGGAAGCGCGCGAAGGAAACCGCGACCTTGGAGGAGATATATGCGTAATGCAGAATTTCGTGCACGCAATACACCACACCGGCTGCGGTGCCAGGTGTTCATCGGAGCGTGTGCGGTTGATGGTAATGAACTTTCGCGAGGCAAGGCCGCCGGGGATGATTTCATAACCCGAGCGAGCGCGCGCTCTTCTGCGCGGAGTGTAATAGCATCGCGTTCGCGAAGAAAGGGGGACGGGTCAGGTCGGGACACATCCTCGCCAGAGAGAGGAGTCAAGAGGGTCGCGAGAGAGAGAGAGAGAGAAGGGAGCTAGACAATTGCGAGAAAGAGGGACGAGCTGAGACCGAGAGGAAACGGGAGGACTCTCCTCGCGAGTACGTCGGCTTACATAATGACTCTCCTCGCGATTTCTCGAGATATATATATATATATATATATATATATATATATATAAACGTATGCGCGCGATTCTCTGTCCTCGATTACGAGCGAGGCGGTCGAGAGGAGCGTATAAATCTCGCGCGCGGAAATTATATTCGAGGGAAGATGCGTTTATTGTTGTGATACCGATAAACTTCTTCTGCGCGATCAAGATTGATTTAGGGCCCCGCGTATCCATTTGAAACTTTATTTTTATTCGAAACGCAGGACATTATCTCGCCGCGGAAGATTGATCAAACGACTCTCGCTGCTTTAAAAATAAATGAAAGAAGACTCACGTTTATCGATCACGAGAGAACGAGAAACAAGTGTCGGAAGGTACGTGGGATCGATTATGTCGAGATCATCGCGTCGCATTTTACGATGCAATTCTTCGTTACCACAGTCGAAATGCATCGCGACTTTTTGCCAGCATCTTCCCGGTCGTACGCACTCAATGATCATCCCGTTAGTTCGCCGACGGTAATTTATCGTTCGTCAGCGAACCGAGAAGAAGCGAAGGAAATGCTTGCGCGGCAAAAAGCAGTCGCTCGGTTTTTGGTGCGTATCATCGTATAAGAGACTCGATGGACCGTTCGAAAGATGCGAAAGAGTCGTCGTCAACTCTGGAGAAAAAGTCGAATCGACGACGATTACCTCTTTGGAAAGCAAACATCCTCTATTTTCCCCGCCTTTTCAATTCTTTCTCGTCACGGTATCGAACAAATCTCGGATGAGCGGTTTTTACGTCGACCGACTCGCTTGATCATTTCATTATGCGTTCAATTACTGCGAGCCGAAGTGTGCGGCTGCTTCTTCGTTGAATAATCGTATTGTGTAAGAGTATTGTCAGTAGTTAGCGCACGCACAATGAAGAACACGTACGGAGATTACAATCGGGATTACACGACACCTTGACCGTGGTCTCTCCCGGAGGAAGGTGCAACGTAATAATTTAGCCCGACCATTATGCGAGACAAGAATCGTCTCGGTAGGCCACAGTGCACGCGTACGTGATGGCACCGTATAACGTGGAGGCACGCGGCTCTCTCGGGGTCCCGATTCGCTCGTGGGATTCACGAAGAGGCCGTCTTCCATTCACTCGAAGCCTGGGTCGTCGTGATTCCCGGTACAATTCGATTCATTGGAAATCGCCTGCCTCGCGGAATGCTAATTCTCGATGTCTCGCTTCTGTACGAAACCTATTGGGATAGCGAGTTTCTTTCTGCAAACAAGAATGCGTAATATAATTTTCTTGCGCGTCAAATAATTTAGCTGTCATTTACAAAGATCTAAATTATCGCGAGAAAATTATATCATGTATTTTTGTGAGATATAAAAATGCACGGATGTCGCTTGGAATCTCTTCAAGATACAAAGTCCAATTCTCGCCTCTACATCAGATCTATCGGGATAGCGAGTTTTTTTCTGCAAAAAAGAATGCGTAATATAATTTTCTTGCGCGTCAAATAATTCAGCTGTCATTTACAAAGATCTAAATTATCGCGAGAAAATTATATCGTGCATTTTTGTGAGATATAAAAATGCACGGATGTCGCTTGGAATCTCTTCAAGATACAAAGTCGAATTCTCGCCTCCACACCAGATCTATCGGGATAGCAAGTTTTTTTCTGCAAAAAAGAATGCGTAGTATAATTTTTCTGCGCGTCAAATAATTCAGCTGTCATTTACAAAGATCTAAATTATCGCGAGGAAATTATAATATATCATGCATCTTTGCAAGATGAAAAATGCACGGATGTCGCTTGGAAGCTCTCCAAGGTAGTAGCTTCGAGAAAGTGACTCGAATAGAAAAGGCTCATTGTGCGATCTCCAGAACATCTCGGTGATTGTATCTCGAGGGAGGTATCCTGTCACGTTTCAGGAACAATCGAATTCGAAGCTCCTGCGCGCGACACTTGAGTTCTGGAAAAAATTGCGAAGAAGCTTCGCGTAAAAAGAAAACGTGAAGCAGGGGAGATATAAATATATATATATATATACGCGTTCTGTTATATACGTTCGTGTCGGATTACATGCGAGAGAAGAGGCACGAGAGAGCCGAAGGGAATTCAGTATTCTGCGCGCACTCGCTATACAACTCGTTCTACTAGGGCGAGGGTGTTAATGAGAATTCGCCCACGTGTGTTCGCGCCATATGACGCTTCCACTTGTCCCGCATCAAGCCCCGATACACACATTCTCTCTCTCTTTCTCGAGAAGAGAAAACTCGAATGCGTCCTGCTGGTAATTACTATGATAAACTGCACGCAAGAGACGCATTGACGTCAACTCCCTATTGCAAATTTCACCGAGCTTATTCGGCGCAATCCCGTTTTATGCCTTTTATTAACTTCAATTCGAGCATCTATCGCTATCTTGATCTCGGGCAGCATTAATCTAATAATCGTGTGTTTTTTTTCTTAATTGCAGCGCCGGTATACGATCAGGATACCACACATGTCGCAGAGTACGATGGAGGTATGTATATATCACGCCGGTGATAACTGTATCCAATTAATCGATACGCGCGTTAATATTAATCGTATCGCGATTCGAGAAGCGTCGTGTTTTAATTAAAATATTCCAGTATTATGAATGGCTTTTATCTGATGCAGCGGTTCTTAACCGGTGTTCCGCAAAGTTATTAAAGCGCGGCATACTTGTAAAAAAAATCTACCATAATTTATTTAATTTTATGAATATTTTAAATTTAAACTACAATTTTTTTTACTGTTATACAATTTGTATTTTATAATTTTTTAAGTATGTTCATGCATATTTTTGTTATTAGTTTTATAACATTAAAGGTTTTGGTTTTTCGCAAATTTTTCTTATAATCAAAAGTAATTTCAAAAAGATTAAGAACTACTGATCTAATGTATAGCGAAGCTTAAAACTTGTTTATTAAACTTGTTGCACGGCGTGATAATGTCGCGAAAAAAAATAATCGTATTACATAATTACGCAAATACATTTCAGAGCTTTGACATAATTATTGACGTTCGATTAACATTTTTCTAGCCGCTGCTGGATGTTACTTCAACTTTCAGCGTTATCAAGAAGGCGATAGGATCACTACGAGCGAACCATGTCTGAATTGCACGTGTCACAATCGAATGCTAATGTGTTACCTGAAGGTCTGCCCGTTCACGAAAGCGATCGGTCAGGATTGCACGGTGGAGAAGCGTCCGGATCAATGCTGCCCCGTGATCACCTGTCCGGAAGTGCCGGTCCAACTGTTAACGTCGACGACGAGCGCACCTACGGATTCCACGGAGGTCGGTTTCCACGATAATTACGGGTGTCACGTCGACGAGAGATTTTATCCAGACGGCGCGATGCTGCCGGTGGAGCATCACAATCCTTGCGAGCTTTGTTACTGCATCCGAAATAGAACCACATGCGTCATGCAAGAATGTACTCTACAAGTGGCGGGATGTAAACCGGTCTATCAAGCAGGCGTCTGTTGTCCGATCAAATACAATTGCGGTAAGTAATTACTTACATCATCCCTTACGATATCTCGCTCTCTTGTTATTTCGCGCACTCGCAATCATTGATTATTATCAGTGTTGCGATTGGATGATTTTTAAATTAGCTAGATAAAGATGGGATGAAAATATATATGAAGATTTTGTTTTAAATATATCTAGATAAAATTATATTTCTTCGATTCATTCGATTCATCTAGATTCCAAATGGTATTATTTCTAAGACCGCTTATGTAAACACAGTTATTAAAAAATGTAAATTATAAAAGGGATATAAAAAGTTTGATTTATAAATTTTTTTATCGCTTAACGCTCAAGTACTACTAATTAAGTATTTTTATGTGCTATGACTCTAAATCAAATTTTCTGAATATTACTCTAAATAAATAAGGGAAGATAACTCTTTTTTACCTATGATGCAGATATAGAAAATACATATTTTTATTATCTATATAAAGATAAAATGACGTCAAAATTTCATCTAGATATAATCATCTCTATAATTTTATTTAGATAATAGTAAACACTGATTATTATTCGCGCAGAATATGATGAGGAACCTAGCACCACGGTTGGTCCAACTCCTGGGCTCATCGTCACCACGACTCTACCTCCCGGCGCGTCGTCCCAATGTTACCACGAGGATAAAATGTACGAAGACGGTGATCTAATTTACTCGAGTCAGCCTTGCGAGCATTGCTATTGTTTCCGAGGTGAGATCGCTTGCGCGGTGCAAAATTGCGGAACGCCGATGCAAGAGCATGGAAAGAATTGCACGGCCTTACCACCACCAGAAGGAGAATGCTGTCCGACCATATACGAGTGCGGTAAGTAATTTCATGTAATAACCGACGGTTGTGTGCGATGTATTATGACTTATCGATCTAATTGAGGTAATCAATAAACATTGCGCATTAAAGGATATATTTATGATCGTAAACTTATTGCAGAGGAAGACGGACAAGGAACCACGGAAGAAGCTGAAGGACAAACACCGCATGATCTATTGACGACCGAGTCACCCATGCTGATCGATCAGGAAGATCAGCAAGTGACAAGTGAACAGCCTCAGGAGGAAACATTCCCAGGCGCCGACAATGCTATACCGGACGCTCACGAGGGAGAAGAAGAAGAGGGTGTTCAAGGAACTATCGAACACATTACTCAGGAACACATTTCCTTTACCGAAACACCCGAAGAACAACCCGCAACACCACCGGCAGAAGAGAACGCTATACCCGAGACGGAAACTACCGCTGTTGAAAAGGAGTCAAGTCCTTCTTCTGCTGAAGTGACACCGGAAGAAGCAGTAACTACGAAAGTACCCTCCGAAACAGAAGCAACGAAGACGGAAGCGCCTACGACGATACAAAAAACTGAAGAAAGTTTAGCTACCGAAGCACCTGGCATTGAATTACCGGAAACTTCGTCTATGAAAAGTTTACGACCGGAAGAAGAAGCGGCCACTACAGAACATGTACCTGAAGAACGCGAAGAAATAAATACAGAAGAGACCGTAGTTGAAAAGGAACAACCGACTGAACCTGCCGTTAGCGAAGAAACGCAGACTGAAAGTGGATTAGAAAAGGCTACTAGTCCACACGAAGGACTTCCAGAAGTAACTAAAGCAGAAGAAACAACGGAAGAAGGACAAATTAGCGTAACGGAAACGCCAGAAACACCAGAAATCTCGACCGAAATTGTTGAAAAAGCAACATTACCGGTCGTAGAAGCTGAAGAGCCTGGTATTAGCACAGTTCCTGAATCTATTACCAAGAAAATGAAGGAAAGCGAAGATAAACTAGAGACCACGAGTGAAATTTTAGCGACCGAGACGGAAGCACCGATAAAAGAAACAACTGCAGCTATAGCTGAGGCGTCCAGTACTGAAAAAATTATTACCGAAGAAGAAATATCTCATCTGACAGAAGCCACTGTTACGGAAGAAGCTCAACCGACTGAAGCGACTAGTTTACCTACGAAACCACCTGCTGAAGAAGAACAACAACGGCCGGAAGAGCAGCCGACATCCGAACACGCAGTAATTGAAAAAGAGCAAACTGCTAAAAAGGAAGATGCTGGTTTGACTGAGAGTCCAGTAACAGCCGAAGAACATATTACTACGGAAGAGCAACGTGCGGAGGAATCAACTTCAAAAATTCCAGCTCAAGGTCCAACCAGCATACCGATTCCTGAACGAAGTCCGGAACAGAAAGCGGAAGATGAGAACGTATATCATGTAACTGAAGATTACCATGACATTACACGTCCAGAAATGAGTCCTGACAATCTCGTAACTGAACATGCACAGGAAATTTCTACAACATACGCTCCGCAGGAACAAGAAACTACATCAGTCTCATCGGAAGAAATTACAAAATCAATTGCGGAGGAAACTGAAATACCAGAGGAAGAAAGTGCGAAACCGGAAGAAGCTACAGAAATAAGTCAACCAAGCCAGCCTAAACCTGAAATTACCACGAGCTCTGAAGAAACAAAAGTGGAAAGTACTCCTGCTGTTACCGAAACTCAAGCTAGTACGGAATCTTCTGCAACTACTGTTTCTCCCATACTAGGAGAAAAAGCATCGGAGGAAACCGAAACTAAAGTACCGCAAACAGAAATTCAGTCAACAGAAGAAACTCTCAAAGAAGAATTGCCTACAAAGGAACCTAGCATCGAAAGTTCTTCTGAACAAATTAGTAGTGAGAAAGGAGTACAACCAAAGAAGGAACAGCCAAAAGAAGAAGAAATAGAGACACAACCTCCGATCATAACGGAACCAGAAACATCGATCCCAGCTGAACATTCAACGGTGCCTTCGAGTCTTGAAGAAGAGCAAACAACAAAAGGTGAACATATTACCGTAATTCCTGAACAATCGACTGTGTCACAAACCGAACAAATAGAAACTGAAATTACTCCTGTTGAAAAAGTCGAGGAACATATTACAGAACAATCTGCTACTTCACCAAGTATAACCGAAGAAGAAAAAGAAATACAAACCGAAGAACCTATCTTAAAAGAAACAGAAACCACGGTAAAGGTAGAAAAAGCCGAAGAAGAGCTTACAACACAAGCGCCTACTGAGCAGTATTCAACGGAAAAGATTTCAGAAGAAGCTGCTACTACAGAAAGTCAAACCGAGGCACCTGCGATCGAGAAAAAGCCTGAGGAAGCAGAAGGTACAGAAAAAATATCAACAGAAGGTATAGAACAACAAACTGAAACAATAATAGAAAAGGAACCTGAAGAAGTGAAACCAACGGAAGTTACAAGTATCGAACAGACGGAATACCCGCAGAACATCCTATTACAACAGATAAAGCTGAAAAAGAAATTGAAGAAAAAATCTTTGTACCTGTATCTACGGAGGAAGTGCAAACAGAAATTCCTGTAGTCGAAACTGGATCTACCGAACCATCGGTCGCAGAGGAAACAGAGAAAGTACAGACTGAATCTTCTGTTAGCGAGGAATATATACCAAGTCAATCTTCGATTCCTTCAGATCGCAAGGAGGATCACGAATCTGTTGAACCAAAACCAAGCGAAGAAGAACAGGGAGGTGAAGAACAAGTAACTAAGAAACCATCTCTTGAAGAGGAAGAAGAGACTAAAATACACGAAGAGCCACAGAAAACGACAGTTTCTCCGAAGAAGCTGTTACCGAATCTATTTCACCGGAAGAAAAACCGACTGAAGTTGCTGGCACAACGACACTCGCAGGCGAAGCCGTTACGCCACCAGTTATAAAGGAACAACCTGAAGTAGTGAGCGAACAACCAGAAAAGATTACAACAGAATTATCAGAAGAAGAACCAACCCAGGGACCAATCACTGAACAACAGCCTGAAATACATGTAAGAAAAGAGACTGAAGCACCCATTTCTGTAACTCCAATCAGCGCAGGCGAAGAGGAGGCCAGTAAATCGACCGAAGCTGCACCAAGCGAAGGAACTACGACACCTGGATTTATTGAAGAATCGACGAAGCATGAAGGTGAAACAGAAATTATACCCTCTACAGAATCTATATCCTCGGAAGAGAAACAACCGGAGACACATGAGCAGACTACACAATCATTGGTAACGGAAAAAGAATTACCCCAGGAAGGAGGTGAAGAGCCTATTGAAATATCCACGAAAGAGAGCGCAATTCCAGAAACGCCTGAAGTGCCTACTACGAGGAACAACCACAGAAGCCCGAAGAGAAAGAAATTACAAGCACGGAGGCGCCGATTCATGAAGAAGAACATGCAACAGAGACACCTGAGATAAAAACTACTGAAATACCACTGGAAAATATACCTCAGTATTCGACCGAAACGAGCATTCCTGAAGAAACTCTTCCAGAAAAAGAAAGTACACCGGAGATCGCACCTCGTCCGTCAGGTATTCCGGGAGAAGGTAATTGTCTTGTCGAAGGACAATCCTACAGCAATAATTCAGCTGTTCCGCCGGCGAATACGTGTCAAACGAGTTGTCGTTGTATCAGCAGTATCGTACAATGTGAACTTGTGGAGTGCGCCCCACCGGCTCATTCATCAAACTGCATGCCCGTTTACACGAGCGGAGATTCATGCTGCCCAATGTATGTATGTGATTCAACACCCACTGTCGAACAGGAATTGGAGTCCGACAGTCACGTAATCGAGCCGCATATTCCTGAAGCAGAGGAAGGCGAAAAGACTTCTACGCCGGCAGAGATATCAACAGAAAAACCAGCGGCAGAGATTACTGAAGCAGCGAAAGAATATAGTACATTAGCTGGTGAAATCACTACACCAGAAATACGACCGGCGGAAGTCACTGTTCCCACTATTTCGACGGAAGAAGAGGTAGAATTAACAACTGAAAAGCAGCAGACAACTTTGAAATCTATCGAACCAGTTTACGAACAACCAACTACAATTGCGCAATCTATTGAGGAGCAGCCTGAGGCTCATATGTTAGTTCCGTGCTTGAGACATCACAGGAATCTGCCAGTCAAGTACCCGAAGAAGGACAATATACTGAGTTACCAAAGGTGACAGAAATTACCGAAGGCAAAATTAGTGAAAAAGAAGAAGTGTAACAGAATCAGCAGTTTCGACCGAGCAGGAGGAGATTGAAAAACAGACTCCTGTTAGTGGCGAGGAACAAGTTGTCACTTCCACGCATATTTCTACGGAACAGGAACTTCATGGCGAAGAGGCTACGACTCCTATTACAATAGAGAGAAGAAAGAAGAAGTTACAACCATTCGTACTGAAAAGGAAGAAGAGACTACGTCCATCAAAGAAAAACCGTCTGAGGAAGAAAGTATCGAGGAACAATCTACGCTTAAGTCAATTGAAGAAGGCGAGGAACAACCTGAAGAAGAGATAGTACCAATATCAACCGAAAAATCAATTGTTGAAGAAGAGTTACCAGCGAAACCGGAAATTTCAGAGGAACAAAAGACTGATAAACCAATTGAGAGTACTTCCATTCCTGAAATCCAACCAACGACGGAGCATAAACCCGAAAGTGAAACTAAATCTGAAGAAGAAAAAGAACATGAAATAGTTACGTCGGCCGAAGGTGAACAAGCTACGCAGACAGAAAAACCAGAAATTCAAACAAAATTGCCTGAAATTGCCCCGAGCGAAGCAGAGACACAGGAATCGATCGCACCTGCTGTCGAATCGACGACTTTGATACACGATCATACGGTCGAGGAAGCACCATCAGAGGAACAAACAACTATAAAATCTATAGAAGTTTCTACGGAAGAAAGCAAAGAAGAAATAAAACCGGAGTCTTCAACTAAAGTTCCTGAAGAAGAATATGTTACGATTCCTGTCTCTCCCGTTGAAGCAGAGATACCCGGCGAAGTGACAACTGAACAGGAATTAGAAAAATCTACTCCTGAAGTTTCTCAAGAAGAAACATCGCCGGAGACAATGAAAGAAACTACAGACATCCCGAAGAACACCCGAACCATCAGAACATGAAGAACCATCCGTCACAAAATTATCCGAAGAAAAAACCGTCTGAAACTGAATCTCCGATTAGCACGGAGCAACCAGTGAAAGCTATCGAAGTTGAAGAAACAAGAGCAGAACATGAGAAGCCCACTGAACCCAGTATCATTCACGAGCCGGAAGGTACGCAAATTTCGATGAAGAGCAGCCAGAAGCTGCGACTGAAACTGAATCTCATACACCCGAATCTCCTGTCGAAGAACATACAATAGCCGAGGAAATACCAACAACATCTGTATCTGTAGAAGAAGAAGCCAGCGAGCAGCCAATTACAAAAGAAACTGAGCCAAGTCTAGAAGAAGTGGAAACTAAGCAACCTATTATTCCCGAAGCACCTGCTGTACAAGAAGAACACATTCCAATCGAAGAGCACACTACGAAACCTGAAGAGCATCCTGTTGAGAAACAGACTATTATTCCTAGTGAAGGCGAACCAACGGAAAGTGGCATTTCGACGGAAGAAGTCACGCCGGAAAGCGTAACAAGCCAACAGGAACAAATAGGAACTGAAAAGACTGTAGAAAGTGCCAAACCAGAAACGGAAATTCCTAGTTCAACGGAAGAACAAACTGTTATTCCCGAAATTCCCAAGGAGGAAGAGGAGCAGAAACCTGAAATCGAAGTAACGAAAGAAACGGATAAACAAGAACCGATCACGGAAGAAATTATTAAAGAGGAAGCTGTAACATCTGCAGGTACTACGGAAAGTATCCTGTCGTGGAAGAGCATACCGCGCCAGAAATTGAAACAAAAATTCATGAACCAATAGAAACAACAATTGCGCCGAAAGAGCAGAAACCTGAAGAGGGAATTACAAGCGAGCCGGAGCATCCATTGAGCGAAGAAGCGACGACCGAGCCAAGCTTGATATCTGAAGAACATTCAACTGTACCGGTAGAAGAAGAAGAAAAAGAAACAAGCACTCATAAACCGGAATATCAGACAACGTTATCTACCGCAGAAGAAGAAGTATCGAAACCGGCGACCGAAGTCAGTGAAGTGGAAAAACTGTCACCCGAAGAAGGAGCCGCTGTAACTGAAAGTGCAACGGAAAAACCGGAGGAATTTATTACCAAAGTTTCTGCCGAAGTAAGCACAACCGAAAAGTCTGCAGAAGTTCCATCTGAAACAGAAAAATCAATACCAGAAGGGGAAACAGAAAAATCAATACCAGAAGGGGAAACAGAACCATCTGAGCAGCAACAAGGTGAAACTACCACGCAATTAATTGAAGGTGCTGTAACTGAGGAGAAATTACCAGAGGAAGCGGTTCCAGTGGAAGTTATTCCAGAAGAGAAACCAAGCGAAGCTTCTGTACCAGATGAAGAGGAAGCACATTCTACCGAACCCAGTCTTCCAGTCGAAACGACTTCCATTCATGAAGAAGAACAGCCAACGATAACGAAATTACAGCCGACTGAAGAACCTCTTCCTTCCGAAGAAGAAACTGTTGCACCGGGAGAGGTTCAGCCTAGCGAGCCTGAAGAAGGCGAAGTGCATCCAGGTATATCTGAAGAACCTCAATATTCTACTACGGAACATGCGCCCGAAACAACGATAAAAACAGAAGAGCATCCGGAAACCGAACAACCAGAAATCTCGGAAGCTACTCTGCCAACTGAAGGACCAATCAAGGTATCTGGCGTGCCAATTGAATTGCCGGAAGAAAAAACTACTATCGGACCAACATCATCGGAAGAGGCCGAAGCTCAGGCTACGATAAAACCTGAAGAAGGCGAACAACCGGCGGAAACACCGGTCGAGGATCATGTCACAAAGACACCGCCAGTATCGACAGAATTACCAGCCGGAGAAATTACAGAAGGGATTCCCGAAGAGGAAATCGTTCATCCTCAAGAGGGTGAAGAGATTGGTCATCCTCACTTTGATCACTTCCCGGAGGCTACCGTGAAGCCAGACACCGACTATTCCGCGGAGGGTGAATTAACATTGGGATCCGACGAGGAACATTTGCGACCGATCAATCATACTGAATCATCAGAACAACCGTACGAACCTCCCTTCCACGAACAACAACCGGAGACTACTTCGGCGCCTCATATTCCGGATTATTCCGATCAGTCCGTGTCGGGAGAGGAGAATCCTCACTTCCCCGTGCAAGGCGGCAGTTATTTGAATCCCGACGAGGATTACGACGAAGACGAACAGGTCTACGGACCGGGTACCTGCCGATACGGAGGCAAAGTCTACGTCTCGGCGCAACAAATACCTAGGGACGACCCGTGCGACTTCTGCTTCTGCTTCAGGAGTGACATCATTTGCTTGCAACAAAGCTGTCCGCCGCCTATTCCGGGCTGCCATGAGGAACCGATCAGCGGTTTCTGCTGTCCTAGATACGAATGTCCTGTATCGATGGCCATGTCTCTTAACTTGACCACCACCACTACCACAACTACGACCACGTTACCGCCGCTTTTTCACGCTCACGCTTATAAGGGTGCCGCGAGACGAAGCGGCTGCCAGATCCAAGGTCACGCGTATCGAGTAGGAGAAGTCATTAAGTCGGCGTCTGGACCTTGCCTTCATTGCACGTAAGTATCAACGAAAATATATCTTTGTGTTCCTATAATTAAATTTTTACGTCAATTTTGTGCGCCTCATTATGTTGTCTCGGAAAAATTTAACGCAAACTCTTGTAAAATTTCAGCTGTGGAGGTGACGGTAACATGAAATGCGATCCGCGAATGTGCAGTCCGGAACCGATGCTGAGGCAAATGATCGCTACGGCTGCGGCCAAGAGGAGAAGATGAGCCGCCGAATTGGATCGTCTTTACAAAGAATCATATACGAGGACGAGGAAGTCGACAGCGGGATTCAGTGTTGTATAAAAGTGAAATTAAAATTATTCTAAACTACCTAAACGTCGTGCGGAACACAGACAATAGTGTGCTTCGGCGATCACGAACTGAGTGGCCAAAACGAGTAAACGTTTATACTAATAATATTATATTATGTTATATATAAAAAAGAGAGAAAGAGAGAGAAACAGCGATGAACGAGAGATGAAGGAGAGGTAATTAATATTGATCGGAGATCTGCGTAGGGAATTAACTGCGTATCGAGGCGCGTTATCGGTGCTAGTACGCGAACATGGAAGGAGGAAACAAAGCGGCGCAGATGTAGAGAATATAAGGGAAAGGAAAAAGAATAAATTTCGTTCGTGATAATTCCGCGTTCTGTCTCACGGGATATTTTGTACGGCCCGAAAGAAAGAAAGAAAGAAAGAGAGAAAAAATTACTGAACGTACGAGACTTATGACTGTGCCTTCGTCAAGTGTCGAATATCAGCGGCACTGCTTTCGTTTCGGCAACGAGCGCCGTCTGCAGCCACGGTCATCGTCGTCGGTATTTTAAATAAGCCCTGAAGAATCGCGATCACGCGCGACTTCGTAGGTAGTGAGAGAAAAAAGAGAGAAAGAGGGAGAGAGGGAGAGAAATGCGACGAATGCGTTTTGTACGATGCATAAAACGAAAAAACAGAAAAGAAAATTCATTGCGTCAATAATCGATCGCGCAGTGATACTGAAACAGCGGAGGAGAATCGTACGAAGAATACCTCGATTTATAGAGATCTTCTCTAGTTAGAAGTTTTTTAAACATTTTTCTACGCAAACTACATGTCCACGGTATTTTTTTTACGATGCTACGTTAGAAATTGTGAAAAGGGAGGGAGAAAAAAAACATGATCGCGTAGTTTTACGGTTCTTACGGTATCACTGCGACAATCTTAGGCGACGACGATATGTCATTATTTGATCGAGCGCGTTTTTTGATCGTTTTTATTCGGCTGCTATTGTGTGTCCTAATGATCGGGTCACTTTATTCAAGTTCGCTGACATTCACGCGCACTCGAACACGATCGATATTTTAATAGATCGGCACAGCCGATCATGCTTCCAGTACTCTTAAGCCACGAGGATTCTAAAATCCTATAGTCGCGTTTTCCTCTCGAGGAAGAACTTCCGATCGAGCCATCTCTTTCTATCTTTTTTTAATCGCTCCATCAATCGTACACAGTGCCAACGATCGTGTCCTAGTGCGCGCGCGGGTGTGTGCATGTGCGTGTGTGTGCGTGGTGCGTATAATATGTTAAAAGGATGAAAGAGGTAGCCAGAGAGAAAGAGAGACGAAAGATACACGCATCTCAAAGCTCAAACTGCGGCTCGCGCGGAGGACCGATCCGAGAATTTGCTTCTCCGGCGAGCTGGCGTCATTATACATATATATAAATATAAATATATATATAAATATAAATATATATACATTTATATATAATTCTTTATATACACTGTACCCTCCTGATGATAATACTTAACGATAACAATGTTCTATACGTTTGTACGAAAGTATAGTTATCTAAGACTAGATGATAAAATCGCTCGCGCACAGGTTCTTCAGTCTCAAAGTGTCGCGCCAGAAGAGAGGAAGCGATGCACGATCTTCGAGACCTTCCGGGATCATTTCCCAAGGTCATTTATTTATCTTGATAGCAATTATATGCGACTCATCGTTCAAGGGCGAGAGCTGTCGCTCAACGTCATGCTTTGAGACTCTGGAACTCTGCGGGCTCTCTTTAGTATGATAAATAGATCGAATGCTATATCGTGTCGCACAAAATACTGCGCATACTGTCTGTATTTATAATAATCGAACGAAGACGAGTCGAAGTTCAGTCTTCCTGATATCAGCGGCCCGTTAGTTCTAGTACTCGTTTATTGATAATTAAGAGCTCATATCTGCCCGAGGGAACAGCTTCTCACGGAGAATTATCATGAAAGCGCGTTTTCTCTTTTTTTGTTCACGTAAAAGATCTCTCTCGACTTGAATGACCAACGAATAATCGCGTATTTGTAGAGCTTCCACGACAACACTCGATCGTGATATATAAAATAGCCATATTATTACTGTTACTGTTTTTTTTTCAGATATAGACAAAAACCAATATTCCACACACGTCAATAATAAATGATTAATACACGTATATGTGAGACGCTTTTGTTTTATATAACGTCGTAATAAAATTATGTAAGGTTTACAAAAAAATTGTCAGAAATACCTTGAAGAAAAGCAGACATTTGTGGATAAAGATAATAACAAATGTGTCGGGACATTTTGTATAATTTTAAAAATGTGATACATACCTCTCTCAAGTAGTTGCAAAAAATATGATGAAAAGACGCGAAGGATTCTTGATTCGATTTGTTAATTAATTTTCTTTGCGACAATTAATTATCACGGTACGTCGTTCAAAACGGAGTCGAGTCAGTTCTTTTCAAGCCAATATTTTAGTGATTATAATCGAAATCTAGTATTTATATCTTGATATCACTCATCCCCTTAACTCATAGCGAGTAACATTACCGAAGGTAAATCAGTGTCGAATATATTTAACGGATAAGTACGAAATATTATGGCATATAATTGTAATAACGTTAGATAAATATATATATATGTGTATATATATATATATATATATATATATATATATATATATATATGATGGATACACAAATAGGATGCATGTAAACTAATGTCGAAGTCATGTTACGGCGAAAGTGTAGAGATATATACTTTTCCATCTAGACTTGCGCACACAACTTTATATATAGACACGCATATATACGCATTATACTTACGCACGAAGCGACCAATTTTCATCTTCATCCACGTCGTATCCTCGTATCGTTAATATAATCGCGCAAATAGATCACATTCGCACGCGCTGCGTTTCTTTTTCAAATATTCGCGATACCGCGACTTCTTTCGATAATCGATAAGTATCGATAGGAGGAGGCGATGGCGCGAATGAAGATTCGAATTGGTCACGTGGGCTCGTACAATGCAGCGAAAATGGCGCGCAGTAAAGGATACTCGACCCGCGCGCGATGGATTTTCGATGCTTTTCTACATACGTGAGTACGATCGCGCCATGCGTATGATTTGACTACTTGTTTTGCCGCGTATATATTATGATATGTGATAAACGACGGTGAATAAACGAGAGAGCGAGCCGGAAAGGTGTCCCGGCGGTGCCGACTGTACGGAAGTAGGCTAGAATTCGACAGTACGTGCTAGTATAAAGTGTCCTTTTTATATGAATAAAAGATTTTGTATGTCAATCTATACACACGTGCATTTTTTTCTCAATTTTGCGTTTGCAGATTTATCTACCATCCTTCCTCGCCTTTCGACGGAAAAAATCAATTCAGTTTGACAAAAGGTAATTAATGAAGTTTAATTAGATCGTTGCTAATATATGATATAATTGATATTAATTGAAATTAAATATAAATTATTGGAGACGTAACATTTTCATTTTATGCGTAATATGTGTTATCAGACTAGATAAAAGTAAAAAAATGTATTTTTTAAAATCATATATATATTGTAAAAAAAATACGATTATATTAGGAAAGATATCGTACGCGGTTCATTTCCGACATTCCGATGTGTTTAAATTGCATTTTCGTGTATGTGAATGCAAATATGAATACGATACATCCATTATTGATGTTTAAGAAGAAACTGAATAGGTAGAAAACTTGATATTTCCATAACATATTTACATACATACTTTATATTTGTGTAACAAATACATAAAATTCTCGTATTGAAAAGCTGTTAGCTAGTTATATTTCTAGACTCTAGAGCGTAAGTTGGCAACGCGTGTTTTGACGCATATTCAGAGTGGTGTTATTTTTCGGTATTCGCGCTAAGTGGGAGCATCGTGTTGCTTGATTTTGGAATAAAATAACGTGAAACGTCGTTGACAACGAGCGATGGAGGCTGGTGCGAGTACGGGTACTCGTACGACGCGATTTATGATGGAAGGCGTCGGTGCCCGAGTGATTCGCGGACCGGAATGGAAGTGGGGAAAACAGGTTAGGATGAGAGGTTAACTTCATTAAATGGACCTTTTTCGTGACAACTTCACTCTTTCGTTCTACGAGATTACTCGCAACGAGTAATTTCACGTCTCCTATTTCCTCTCACGGGGCTACGACAATTTTTTCAAAGAATTTGCATGTATAAAGGGTTAATCTACTTTGCTATAAGGTTATTCTGATATTGTTTGTTTCACGTACGACGATCATTATTTTATTAAATTATTAAGATACATCGCTCAATTACTTAAATTACTATTAGAATTTATTGTATTGGATATTAAATATACGTGGTTTGCAGTAAATAAAATGTTAGTCGTATGCAACAGTTGGAGTAACTTTTTATTTTAAATCATATATTTGACTGGCAAGCAATAGCCATATTGTCAGCTGATTTACTTATATGAATAGTAGAAATATATAATTAATTTTTAATTGTTTCTTTAAGGATGGCGGAGAAGGCCATGTGGGTACTGTCAGAAACTTTGAATCGCCAGAAGAGGTTGTAGTTGTATGGGATAATGGCACAGCAGCTAATTATCGATGTTCTGGAGCCTTTGACTTGCGTATATTAGATTCTGCTCCAACAGGAGTGAAACATGATGGGACAATGTGCGATACTTGTCGTCAACAACCTATTTTTGGAATACGATGGAAGTGCGCTGAATGTGGCAATTATGATCTTTGTTCCATTTGTTATCATGGGGATAAACATCACTTGCGGCACAGATTTTTTCGCATTGCTACACCAGGAAGTGAAAGAGTTTTGCTGGAGCCTCGTAGAAAAAGCAAAAAGGTACGAATGATACTCTTAATCTTAATTTAACATTTAAAAATTACTATCTACAACATATTATGATTTTTATCAATTAATTCTCTGATTATAGATTGCAATACGTGGTATATTTCCCGGTGCAAGAGTTGTAAGAGGTGTTGATTGGCAATGGGAAGACCAAGATGGTGGAAATGGTCGTCGAGGAAAAGTTAATGAAATACAAGACTGGTCTGCAGCTAGTCCTCGTTCAGCAGCTTATGTTATTTGGGATAATGGTGCCAAAAATTTGTACAGAGTCGGTTTTGAAGGAATGGTTGGTATTATTTCAGTGTTACGATATCAATATTATTTCGAAATGGCTATTTATTGATATATTTATTTCTCATATCATATTGATATATTTATTTATATATATTATTTGGTATTTAGTGGATATTTACTGATATTTATTGATATTTTTTTATGTCTAGGCGGATTTAAAAGTGGTCAATGATGCAAAAGGACAAACAGTATATAGAGATCATTTACCACTACTTGGTGAACAAGGTCCGGGTCGAACAGGACCTCATGGTCTGCAAATTGGTGATCAGGTGATTATTCTATAATCATGATATATTCGTTTTGTCTAAAAAATATGCAAGATATGCAAAATATTTCATACAATTATCTTTTTTCTATAGGTTAATGTGGATTTGGAATTGGAAATTGTACAATCACTGCAACATGGTCATGGTGGCTGGACAGATGGCATGTTTGAATGCCTCGGCACTACAGGAACTGTTGTTGGTATCGACGAAGATCATGACATTGTTGTCTCTTATCCGAGCGGTAATCGGTGGACTTTTAATCCCGCTGTACTCACTAAAGTACAAATACCCGTCCCCGTTACTAGTTCCAGTTCTGACAATCAAACATTTGCTGTTGGTGATTTGGTACAAATATGCCATGATATAGAAAAAATTAAATTGCTCCAGCGTGGGCATGGAGAATGGGCCGAGGCAATGGCTCCGGTATGTATATCAAGATAATAAACTGAAATTTAATTTTATTTCTCATTCTCTTTGCATTCTTTCAATTTTGTATTTGATTTTTTCCAGACCTTGGGAAAAATAGGTAGAGTACAGCAAATATATCATGATGGAGACTTGAAAGTGGAGGTCTGCAGCACATCATGGACATACAATCCTCAAGCTGTCACAAAAGTTGCTAGCAGTGACGGAAGTGTACCGGGAAATAGTAGCGGTGGTAAATATACGACAAATTAAACTAATTGATCATTTAAGACATTAGTCATCACGTTTCTGGTCTAATATATGTTATAATCTATATATTACTTTATTTTTTCAGAACGATTATCTGCATTATTAAAGAAATTATTCGAGACACATGTGTCAGGTGACGTCAATGAAGAACTAGTAAAAACTGCAGCGAATGGCGACGCTGCTAAATGCGAAGAATGCTTAAAACGACCAGAAGCCGATGTTAATGGCGTATTTGCTGGTCACACCGCTCTGCAAGCAGCAAGTCAAAACGGTCATTTAGAAGTTATTAAAATACTTCTGCGATACAAAGCGGATGTAGAAATAGAAGTAAGTTACCATAGTTTTGAACAAAAATTTCAGATATATACTAAGTCGCATTTTTATTTATATCGCATTTTTTGAAAACAGGATAAAGATGGTGATAGAGCGGTACACCATGCTGCTTTTGGAGATGAGCCAGGAGTTATGGCGCTTCTCGCTGGTGCCGGCGCTGATTTAAACGCTCGGAATAAAAGACGTCAAACAGCTCTTCATATCGCTGTTAATAAAGGACATGCTGGTGTTGTGCGAACCCTACTGGAATTGGGATGTCATCCGAGTCTACAAGTAAGTGTTTTTACAATTTACAGTCATATATATGAACACTAACATTTCTCAGGATTCATTTTCAGAATGTTTGTTTAGTGTTTATTACTTGTATATTATTAGAGAGTTCAAAATACGATTTATGTGTGTTGGATAATTTTAAACATGTATATATAAAATGCACTATATGTTAGTATGTTGATATATATGACGTTAATATATATAACAAAAAATATTTTAAACCGTTATGAAAAATAATCTTATTTCGCTTATATAGCGAAATTTATAGACTGTTATATTTAGTAATTGCTTATGAAAGCATAAGCTAACAATACTAAAAATAATGATAAAGACAATGTTTTTGTCTTTCTACTTAAGTGTCTTATTATGCTATACGTAATAGCAAATACATAATGAACAATATATTAATACGGTCAAGGAAATCACAGAGAGTTATCAGCTCCAGTGCATATAGATTAAACAGTAGTTCCATTTATATAGTCACGAAGTAAATCAACGACTTAGAAAACCGCGGGTTTATTGTAGGAGATTGTACCGGAATGAAATCTCGTGAAATATAACCGTAGGTAGAGGTTTGCAAGGTGATGGCGAGCCGCAAGGGAGGATAAAGGAAAAAGGGTGGGGGTTGTTTATTTTATTCTTCAACTGTCTGAACGTGATATATTTGTGGTATTCCACCCTCCAATGATTTATACCGGTTTGAAACTGCGAATACCTCCTGCTAGTACCTCTTTTCCTCTTTCTTTCAACATCTCGCTTCGTTTCTCTTCTCTCATTCCATTTCCGACGCCGCGCGACTCTTTTCCAAGCATATAACGTGATAGCGAGTATGTTGGTAAGTCCGTTTAATCCATAGTCAATTAACTTTTTTATTTCGATAAATCTCTTGTAATGTTATATATTATAAAGAGAAATTCTCTTTATTTTTTTTTTTCTGTACATTTTCTAATTTACTACAATTTATTTTCGTTAAATTAAAAGAAGAGAAAAAATATAGAGAAAAATATCTGTGTGAGATGGTATTTTAAATTATATATTACATTTGTGTATGTACATAAGAGTATTTGTGCAGTATAATACAATGCGCGCAGTCTAAAGCTTTTTCTCTCTATCTCTTTTTAATCGAATGTACAACGATATCGCGGCTTACTCGGAATAGAGGAAATAAATTTGAATCTGAGGCGTGAAGGAGACGTAATAAGGGCGAAAAGAACGGAAAAAGCGAGAGGGTCGAAGGGCGAAGGGAAGAGAAGAAGAGTGAGTGTTGTTGAAGAAGGAGGAAGATTCCAATCAGGATATATCGGCATATATATTACCTTCCTTGCCTCGATATTTGAGAACGGTTTGGTCCTGAGCAGAGCTGGCGGATATAACCGCACGCAGCTGTATTTTATTATTGATGGCCCTGGGAATGTCTGGTGAATTTTCCTCGCGTTCAAACGGTCAACCGTGCGGACGTTTACTGATATCGCAAACGCTTAAAGCCTTGGTACTCTGCAAACACATTTTCTTATATCTATTTCAGGACTGAATTCTGATTTATTTACCTTTCACTTCTCGCGCACGCGCGCGTATTTATTTCCGTTTCTCAAATATTTTCCGTGAAGCAAACATATTTTATGTATAACATACTCCTCCTTCGCGTAATTTTATACATCGACCAGTTTCTCTCATCGTTTTTAATATCGACGCAATATCTGCGTACAAGCATCGGATATGCGAATGCGAATTAGTGTTAATTCACCTTTGTTACACGGGTATCTCCTCATTTGCAGGAGACTTAATTAATTCAGTTATCTACCTCGAGGAAGCCTCGAATTCCACCTGCGTTACGAGTGTCGCGGGATTGTGTTTGAGAATACGTGTTGCGCATAATCAAGACGGGTTGTGTATATTTGGTACTCCGGCAATGGGGTATAACACTGGATCCCCTTATTTCCCTTCGAAACAATTCGAACTTGAAGGCATAACTAGAAACATTTTCTATGATAAATACCATTTACGTGCTTGGCATATATTGATGAGTTTCTGCATTTTTTTTTCTTGCAGAAAAGAAATTATTCTTTTACAAAATATTAAAAAGATCTTTTCTATAGATTTTAAGTTTTTTAAAATAAATTAATTTTATCTCATATCAAATATATGATTTGTCAATTGACGCGATCTTTTAATAAATATGTAGTTTCTAAAAGATGACAAGATAACAAGAAATTGTTAGTGGGGTGGGTGCATATAAGTAATTACAGTAAATTATCGCGAAAGAGCTTTTTCTCTTCTCATAACGCCCGCCAACGTCTTAGAGAAGTAATTAAGAAAGTTAGGCAATACCCCCTCCTCATTTTCATAATCACCGAACAAAATGGTATAAATTAACAGTAAACGTAAATCAACGATGTTTTTACGCGGTGCAGGTTGTATTGCGACCATCGTGAAATATATCCTTCATATATTTCATCAGGTCGGAGGCATAAGGCCTTGCGAAAATATGCTTGCATTAGCGTTCGCAGAATTACGGTCCATGTCTGTTTCTTCTCTCAGCTACGCTCTCATTCCGTACTTACAAGCGGTATTTGCATAATTGCATTTTTTTTTAAGCGACGAGAAGCTTCTTAATGAGAAATTATTTAAAAGTCTCTTCGTCTTGTCGAAACTCGAGAGTTTTTAAAAGAGTTTAATTATTTTGCTAATTTTTTCGGTTTTTCAGGTAGTCGAGAGTCGCAAAGTAGTATAGCCGTACGATTATTCCTACGTCCGAATTATTGTAATTTTCGTTCGACCGTGACAGCAGGCTATTTTATGGTAATCTTATTTTATTCCGTCGCAAAAGTTCTCGAAGGGAAACTTTTTTTTTTTTTTTCCTCGGCGTTGCACCGCCGAGAGTATACTTTTCGCGAAGGAATAAAATTTCAACGATCACGTACGTATGTACCAGACAAGAAAGGCAGACTCCCCGTGTTCGGCACGTGCGCGAAATTCCGACAAGTCGATCCGACAATACCGGTGGGGGTGGCAGGTGGGGGTGGAAGAGCGAGGGGAATTTTTGCGATCGCGCTATCATCCTGTCTGCTTCGTTGAAGGATCGGACTAATCGAAATACCGGACGTCTTTGGAGCTGTTACGTGTGTAAGAGCGTTCTCTCTACGTGTGTAGCAACCCTTCGTTGCTACACCCGTTAAAATCGAGCTAGTCATCCTTATGGCTTCCGCTGTTCATTTCGGGATATCCGAGGAAAAATATCGAGACGAACGTCCGCCCATAAAGCTTTTATCTTCGACATCGATTGTTCGTACGTCTTCCCTTCCATCTTACGATCGTGCGATTGAAAGGGGGATAATTTGAAAAGTATTGTGAAAAAGAAACAATTTCAACGAAAGAGAGAATTAATTTATTGACGAGTTTTTTGATTTAGGATTTTGAAAAATATTTGTCCCAACGACAGAAAGCCGGATTGTGTTCGCCATTGAGGTTGTAGAGGTTGTCGGTGACATGTATCGCGTGAATTTCAGGCAATGAGGATTAATCGCTTTGGAGAAACTGCATTCTCTCATGTACTCTGTGCAACTCAATCCCTCCGACATGGCGTTTCCAGCCGAGACCATTCTGTTTTACGAGCACGGCCGGAATATCGTGTACATACGCCATAATCGAGGCCGATTGCGTTCGTTACAATTTAGTCAATACCGTGGAATAAATGTCCGAAATAAATCGTAAACAGTCCGGGCTATGCAAGAGAGTTCGCAGACGCGAAGCGCAATTTGGCCGAGGTACTATCAATGATAAAACGTTACTGCGGCGCTTTGATCGGTTACCGGGGAATTATTCGTTCCAATATTCGAGCACGACATTTCACCGAACCGTAGATAATTGCCCGATTTAATAGGGCGAATCTTCGAGGATGTTCCTTTCGACGGTTGCGCGCTCGCGAATAGAATTCCCTTGAGGAATAACGAGACGTAAGGAACGGAGATATATACGAGTGATGCAATTCGGGTAGCCCCTTTTACTCTATCGTGCGAATAATGCATTCAATCGAACCGGTAGTCTTTGCACCGACGCGACCGTCTTCCATAAGGAAAAGTGATTCGTTTCGAAGCAGGGGGTTTGAAATCGGAGACTGGAGAAGAGTGCTTACCTATATAGCTCCGTATGGCCCCTATTACAAATCCAATACCCACCTAGTCTATATATAAGTGTATATATATATATATATATAAAAACACGTCTACTTTTTTGCTCCCTGTCTTTCTCTTCTCTTTTCGATCCATCTCGGTGTTATCGCCTATAACCGCATTCTGGCTGCGCTGTAAGACATATTCGCTGACAGTGACAATATTCTCCCTTCGGTGCTGCAGACTCGACAGAAGTAACATTCTCGGGGGTCACACATTTGCGCGGAGAAACGCCTATTCTCTACGCGAGCCGACATTTGATCGTTCGCGAACATAATCCGGTATTTGGAATTTCTATGTGTCCCTCGCACCACCATAGCATTATATTACGCGCACTGTAACATAAACGCGCGGGGTTAGTTTATACTACTTTATTTTGCAATTTTTTTCTCACTTGGATTTTAATGGCGACATAAAGGGGCGATATTACGTTTATACAGAATTTTGCCTTTTATCTCCTATTTTCATTCTTCTATCTCAATGATTTTCCCATTATTATTATGAAACATCTCGTTCTATTCTCATTTTGTTCCGACATACTTTTCACTGTTTCCCTATTCATTTCTCGATGAACTTTATTCTATGTTATTTTATTATTGTAGCATTATTATATTTTTATTCTATTCTCTTTGTATTGTTAACGTTTAATTAAGAACATATAGTTTTTGAGAAGCATATCTATACATTTCGTAAAAGTATCTGATATCTTAGAGAATAAATATTTCATCTATATCTTGTCTGCGTCTACATAAAACGGAAAGCCGTTGGGAACGATGCGAATCGTAGAATCTAGAAGCCCCTTTTTCAGAGAATGCGATGTACTTCGAGTCC